TCATTACTAGAATCTAAGCTCTGTGAGGATAAAGATTTTGGTTATTTTGCTTACTGCCTAGAATATTGCCTGACACATAGTAGGTGTTCAAGGTATATAAGATCTATATATATACATGGTGTCCCAAAATGTTACACATTTTAACAGCTGATAGCTCAATTTTGAAAATAAAATTTATTTTAATAAAAACTATCTTCATAATTATTCTAAGTGTGTATCTACATTTTTTGGGGTCTCTCTCTCTCTGTATGTACAATATATATGCACATACACATATATACCTTACATATAATATCCGCTATGAGCATCAGAATATATATATATATATATATATATATATATATATATATATATATATAATTTGCATTTAATTTGGAAAAAAATTAATGAATGTAACAATTCATGGAAGAACCTTTGGAAGAGATGAGCACTAAAACAAATTTGTGTAAGGATAAGAGACCTCTTATTAGCTGATTCCCTCCACAAAGAGCACCCAGGTCTGCAATACAAAAATCCCCAGATGGATTTAACTGCTCTGAACTCAACAGCTAGTATGTAGGAAGTTATGAGAAAGACAGAGATGAAAAGGAGTAGCCAGCATTGCTTAGCACCAAGCTGCAAAAGAAGTTCCCATCAAGCCTGACGCACAGCTGATCTGATCTCCTACATTCTGGTCTAGTTTGAAATGCAAAGGCCGGGGAGGAGATACCCACTGTGGGCTCCATAGATCTTCTAGACAAAATGAGAAGATAAAGAGCTCTTGTGGCTGCCCAACATAGCTCAGAAGTGAATTGAGAAGAAACATCTAGAAAGGCTCTCTCAAAGCAGAATTTATTATTCTTTCTTCTTTCTCTGTAGAGCTCTAGCTGCCCTTTGATCTTTTCTCACCTTACAGGGCATTCTCTTGTAATTGTGGGGTGTATTCAGTAACTCAGCATTATTTATTGAGCTCAAACTATGTGCTAGTCATTGTTTAGAACTAGGGCAACAGCCATGACCAAGGAGACAAAACTCTCTGCTTGATAGAGCTTAAGGTTTTAGGAAAGGGAGATAGACTGTTAATAAAATATAGCATAGTAAGGGCCTGGTGCACAAATTTGTGCACAGGTGGGTTCCCTCTGGGTGGCCTGTGGGGATCGGGCAGAAACCCGCAGTCCAAAGCTGCCTGCAGCTCCTACTTGCTACTCCTGCTTGCACTGCAGCAGCTCTCGCCAGCCACGAGCCCTGCATCTAGCGCCCTCCCAAGGGGAGCAGCCTATGGAATTGGACTGAAACCAACTCTCCGACATCCCCTGAAGGGTCTTAGATTGTGAGAGGGTGCAGGCCAGGCTGAGGAACCCCACCAGTGCACGATCTGGCCGGGAAGGGACCATGGCCCATCTTGCTCAGTCCTAAGATTGACCAGACGCCAGCTGCTAGCTAATCTACCAGTCGGAGCATCTGCCCCCTGGTGGTCAATGCAATAGCAGCCTTAACATATCATTAGCATATTACGCTTTGATTGGTTGTTCAGTTGTTCTGCGGTTAGCTCTATTTGCATATTATCCTTTTATTATGTAGGATGTTAAATCACAATAAGGGGTTTAGAAAATAAAGCAAAAGAGAAAGAGAGAGAGAGAGAGAGAGAGAGAAAGAGAGAGAGAGAGAGAGAGAGAGAGAGAGAGGAGCTGGGAGTGGGGTTGATTCTAATTAGGGTATTATATTAGTTTCCTAGGGCTGCCATAACAAAGTGCCACAGACTAGAGGGCTTAAACTACAGAAATTAATTTCCTCCCAGTTTGGAGGCTAGAAGTCTGACATTATGGTGTCAGCAGGGCAGGTTTCTTCTGAGGCCCCCTTCCTTGACTTGTTGAAAGCCAGCTTCTTTCTGTGCCTACACAGTCTTCCCTACACACAGTCTTCCCTACACACGGTCTTCCTCCTGTATGTTTGTGTTCACATTGCCTCTTCTTATGAGGGCACCAATTATATGGGAATAATCCTCATCCAGATGACCTCATTTTAATTTGATAACTCATTTAAAAACCCTCTCTCCAAATATTGTCACATTCTTGGGTCATGGGGGTTTGGAATTCAACATATGAATTTTGTGGGATTTAGCTCATAACAAGTACCTTGGGAAAGTCTTGCTGAGAAGATGATATTTGAGCAAAGACTTGGAAGAGCTGGCCATGAAGATGTCTGGGGGAAAATCATTTCAGGGAGAGGGAACAGCAAATGCAAAGGCTCTGCAATACAGGTATGCTTGGTGAGTTTGAAGAGCAAACTGGAAGTACTGTGACTGGAGTGGGTAGGTGAACAAGGGAGAGAGCCGTAGAGAAGAGACCAGAAAGGTAAGGAGAATGGTAAAATCATGGCCCTTAGGTCATTGGAGGAACTTTGGCTTTTTATTCTGAGTGTGAGAGAAAGTCCTTGAGGGAGAAATCATGTTGCTAGTGGTCTGCAAATTCTGGTTCAAATGCATTGCCTCATCTGAGTAAGTCTATTAGGTGCTTGTGCTGACTGCTCCAAGATCACAGGCAGAAGAGATGGACCAATGATTAACACATTTTGATAGAAAAATACATTGATTTCTAGGACTCTCACTATTGTGATTTCTAAATTCTGTCTCAATTCTTGCTGTTATAACTGCACCTTTTTTTTTTTTTTATGCACTTAGAAAGTGAGGTTGAAAGGCTATTTTTAAGCCCTATGTACTTTGATAAAACTATGGAGGACGCTTGGATTTGTGCATTGTGCATCCTTTCTCTCCTCATCAACTGTATTCTTTGTGATGAGTTCTCATCTCATTTCAGAAGGTGTGTTTGTTATCAGCAGAGGTGCTCTGGTGGAAATGAGGATTGGGCTCTTCAAAGAGATTGACTTACTTTTTTAAACATCAGAAAATGCTCCCAAGTGTTTGGACATTTCATGTGATCCTTTCTCCTAGCTCCATCGCTAGCCTTGATTTGGAATTTAGTCTTAGGTTCTGGCACTTGTTACTGATTCTGCCTAACTCTGATGACTCTTCCTCACAACCAGATTCCTAGTGCTGACTTGCCCGGGCACTACGTTACCTTTCTTATTGCTAGGCTTTGGTGACTCAGCTCTGCTTTTTAATGGTCCTGGAATGCGATTACTTCTTTTTAAAAAATATATCTGCTGGGGTTCTTTTCCCCCAGCCTTATAAAGGGTTTAACATTCTGGAGAAAGGATTGCATGTAGATGATTAAGAAGGAGCCTGTGGACAAAAGATATTTTTGATAGGCATTGGGGATCAGAGGAGCTTCCAGTTGAAAGAGCTAGAAGACTCTCTTCCTTGACCAAGGACCCATGCTTTTATTAGTATAATTTGTCCCAAGGCAAGGTGGAAATATACATTTCAAAGGGTATGGTATCAAAGGGTATGCAGGAACATTGTCAGTTTGGGGAATAGCCTACAGCTGTTCAGGTGTTTGGCCAACAGGAGGTAATAAAATGCTTTGAGCTGTCTGGCAGTTAACAATCTTTTTCAGGCTTGGGGGGAGTGCCTTTTAGCCATTTCCAACAGGTACACTACATGTAGCCATTGCTAACAAGGAACCACCAGACAAAGCAGTTCTTTAAAGCAAAGTCCTATACAATAGCTGTATACCAGCTAGGTAACAATACACCTTTCCCACAAAGCAATAGAAGCCTCTGTACCCACAGCTATAATACATCTTCTCCATGATACAGCCCCGTCCTGGTTGGTCAGTAACAACTTTACACTACTTAGACAAAAGAGGCTTCTTGCCAAATAGTGACCTCAGTCTTTTGGGTTACAGAAGGGCACACTTGTGCAGGGTACATACAGATTACTGTGTCTTTGCTCTTGTACTTGTGTATAGACTTTGGACATCCTAATTGAGATTCCCACACTCAGAGTGGCCTTGAGCATCTGAATAGGGTCGCCACAGAAAGAAACACATCAATTCGTTGCTCCCTGCATGTGCCTTGACCAGGGCCCTGGGCCAGGGAAGAGCTTGTGACCAAGGTATGTGCCCTTCACCAGAATCGAACCCAGGACCCTTCAGTCTGCAAGACAATACTCTTATCTATTGAGCCAAATCAGCTAGCACTGGTAGATCCTTGATAGAATTTTTTGATGGAATAAATTTATTTAAATTAAATAGTTATAGTAGCATCTCATGATATGGGAAGGAAATTGGTTACTCAACTAATATTAGATGTGCTTTCAATGAAGCACCATGGTAGGTAATGAGGATTCAAAGATAAAAAGACAGGGGGGTCTTTCCTTAAGAATTCACATTCTACTGGAATTCTAGAGTTAGAGGCAAAGTCCATGTGGTCAACTTGGCTAGAGATAACAAAAAACCTTTTAAAATTGTGGGCCTTAATCTGAGGTTCAGTTCCAAATAAATCTTGAATTATATTAGGGGTGTTACAGTTTCTGAGCTGGAAAAATTCTTCAGAAAAGTTGGAAAATTTCTCTCTTGGGTTTTGATGCTGGTTGCAGAATGATGGCTTCTGAGGGAAGAGGAGCCCAGTGAAAGGTGTTGCAAGGGATAGATAGAACTCTATATGCTATCACCAGCATGTTTCCCAGGGCTTCCCATTCTACTTCGCTGTTAAATTTTTCTGGGATACTCCTTGGAAAAGGGGATTCTCTTTTCATTTGGGAATTAAAAGAATTCACACACCTTCTGGAAATCAGACTTTTTCATTGGCATGGCATGACTTTTAAAATAATGAAATCTGTTCTGATAAGCAACTCAAGTTTTAACTCTTTTTGTGGGGTAGGGGGTGGAGGCCCCAATCTTACCAGTAAATTTGAGCTTTTGCTTAATGTCACAAATGGTGTGGTCAAAGATTTTTGATTATGAAGCAATCTTTAAAAAAAAAAATAGAACAGTCTAAGTGATCTTCCTCTATATATACTGTATGCTATCTTTCACAGCATCTCATTGGAGAGGCAGCCTTGAGGGGTAAAGTAAGTAGGTTATCCTCTCATCTTCGAACACAAGCAACTCTCTGGCTGCTGTGAGTGACACAGGTGGAGGGAAATGCGGGGGAATTGCATTTTGACGTCTGGGTTGCTGTTTGCCACTCTGTCTCTTGCTATTGCCAAGCACAAGCCATCTTCCTTCGCCAAGAGCTGCTACCCAAGGGGGACACTGTCCCAAGCTGTTGACATGCTCTATGTCAAGGCAGCAAGGCTCAAAGCAACAGTTCCAGTAAGTACGAGGCTCTTCTTACAATGAAGACCTACAGGACATTTATAATTCTGAATAAAACTTGTTTCTCTTTGTTTTGTTGTAGGAAGACAGCATAAAAAATATACGATTATTAAAAAAGAAATCAAAAAAGCTATTTATGGTAAGCCAGAGGGCCTTTCTTCTCTCCCAGGTTTCTAATTGTTTGATTTTTCCAGATGGTCATTAAGTAATAAACAGGGGGATGTTTCAGTGACATTTTACAAAGGCGATTCATGGTTTATCATGTGCAATTTCTTGTATCTTCTCTCTAGAAGAACTGCAGATTCCAAGAACAGCTTCTGTCCTTCTTCATGGAAGATGTTTTTGGTCAACTCCAATTACAAGTTTGCAAGGAAATGCACTTTGTGGAAGAATTTCACAGCTTTAGGCAGAAACTGAGCCGCTGTGTAAGTATGCACAGCAAACATGGTGAGTCTGGCCCTACAAACCTACCTAGAAAACAGCATATGTGAAGCTGTCTCCACATCAAAGGGTGAGTAAAAGGGCCTGAGTGTTGGCTTGTAGTCCACATGGAGAGCTCATTTCTAGGAAAACAGGATCAAATAACCATGCATAACTCAGAATGCCACTATTAATAATATCTCAAGGAATGGCAAGTAAACCATATTGAAGCAAGCTAAACTAACATGGAATGCTACTCAAATACAGAGGTGGGCAAGTGTAGGTTTATAGTTGGTCATATGGAAAATAATTAATAAATGATAATAGACTGCGTTTTGTATGCTCACAACTGTTAACCTACTTTCCCCCACTCGTGTATTTAACTAATTTTTTTTTTTTTAACATTCCCTCTTTATGATTCCCAAGTAGTTCATTCATTCATTGGATAGTTCTTAAGTACCAACTAGATGCCCAACACTATCTTAAGCTGTTTTCTTTTTCTTTCCCATAGTGCTGAGAACTTCTAGACTGCCATGCTCTCTGCTCTTGGGCAAGGTGGTTACTGAGACCTAAATGTGGGGCAGTTGGAGGTGGATTTTTATTTTTCAAGAGTTAGGATATCTTTGTCTTATGGTCCGTGAAAGGGTCAGGAATCCAAACCATAGCCACAAGGCAGAGGCATTTTGTGAGGGTGAGCTGGTCAGTTAGGCAAAAAATTCATTGAATCTATGTTCACTTTTCTTTGGTCAGTTTGTGTTTAGGTCATGTCCTTGTTTGGGAGTGGGGCTGCATGATTTTTAAATAAACTTTCTCATTTCACTAAAAGAGTAATAATGATTAAAAATTACAAACTGATACCTCTTTTTAGAACACAGAGAGATTGCTCTGGGCCAGTTCCTTTCCCTGAAATCATGGAAAGGCTGTCACTCATCTTTGGTTTATTCTATATTTAATCTATAAACTCTTATTAAGGCAGTGGGTAATATAGTCTTTTACATTTAAGTGGAATTATTATATAATTTTATATTTCTTTTGGCCTCCCTGATTAGATGATTATTCTCCCAAGGAAGAGAGTTTTTACTGCTAAAAGACTTGAAGAGGGGGAGAATAATCCATGGAAGCAGCTGCTATTGGGGGAAATAGAGACCCGTGGCAGCGACTGTAGGTTAGAGTGGGGTCATCCAAAGGACCAGCAAACTGTTCCCATTTCAGTATCCGGAAGCAGGCATCCTCTTCGGCTTTACTTTGTTAGTGCCTTCTGCTTTTCCTTTTGCTGGAGAACCTGGGCTCCTCTGTGTAGGTGCTATCATTTGCATTAGCCATCCGATTTCATTTAATGTTATTCTAAATGAAGTTTGTTAATGATAGTGAGGCACTCGAAGAAATCCTTAATCCTTGCCTGATACAATACAGTGTTATCTGAACATCTGGACTCTCCCCCTCTCTCAGGTGATCCCCCTTCCCCTTCCCAAGCCTGTCTGTTTTTACCATTAATCCAGTCTCCTTGGTTCAAATAGCTAGAAAACAGATAATGACAGTTATAACCCAAACCAAGCTGAAAAACTTAGAAAACACAGAATTGTATAGGAACTCTGGTTTTCCTTGATTTGTTTTTGATCCCTAAGGGGATCTCAGTCTGTCAATGAAGATGCCCTCCTCTCAGGGACTTGGGTCAATGCAGCACAGCATGGCACTTTTGGCGGGTTGTGGCCGCTTACCTAAGTGGTTGGCTCCCCCTTATGGCCAAATGGCAATACCACACCCAATCAACCTCCCCAAGAACCACCAAGCTCATTTACTTCTTATTTTCTCCCACCTGTAGCCAACCATTGTTAGCTTCAGTTAATTTGTCTCAGGAGCTCTGGACTTTATGCCCTGGGATGTATCTGCCACCTTTAGGAAACTGGTGGATTAGCCTGAGGTTAGGAAAGCCTTCTCAGTCACTTTGATGCACACTGACCACCAATGCAGGAACTGCCCCCTGGTGGTCAATGCACTCCCACACTGGGAGCACCGCTCAGCCAGAATTCAGAAGCTGGGCAGTGCAGCAGCGGTGGCAGGATCCTCTCCTGCCTCTGCGGCAGCATTAAGGACCCCTCAGGGGACATCCCCAGAGGGGTCCCAGACTGCAGAGAGGGCGCAGGCTGGGCTGAGGGGACCCCCTTTCCCCAGTGCTGCATGAATGACATGCACCAAGCCTCTAGTTTTAAAATAATCATCCAGGATTTAAAAAAAACAAACAATTACTCTGTTAAAGATACAAAGATATTTCAGTCCTCATAATGTTTTCAAATATCATAATCTGCCGTATTTTGCCAGATGGAATTTGACTCTGGACGAATTAGTTGATTTTATGTTGAGCTAGGAGGAATTTTTCACTTATTAAGAGCAAAGTACTAAATTACTTCTTTAAAATTGACAGTAAAGTCCTTGGTATTTTTAGGAGAGTTTGCATTGGGGAAATACTATAATTTCAGTGCTGGAACACTTATGTATTAATTACCAAATGTATATTGGATTATATCTGAGTTATCCTTCATAGTGGTTATTTTGTGTCTCCAGAGAAAACACTTAAAAACAAAGTCTAGTACAATCAGGAATTAGGTAGTGGATCTAATCTGCCCTATTATGCCAGATGGAGATGCTCAATATCTTTCTATTATGCAGCTGACATGGAACTTTTTTTTTTTTTTTATAATATATTTTATTGATTTTTAACAGAGAGGAAGGGAGAAGGATAGAGAGCTAGAAATGTCGATGAGAGAGAAACATTGACCAGCTGCCTCTTGCACACCCCTACAGGTGATGTGCCCGCAACCAAGGTACATGCCCTTGCCTGGAATCGAACCTGGGACCTTTCAGTCCGCAGACCGACACTCTACCACTGAGCCAAACCAGCTTTGGTGACATGGAACTTTAAGGTTACTGGCTAGATAGATAAGGGTACAACTCTTTTAACACTATTATCACGAACCAACCATTGGACATTTCTAAGCTTTAGCTTTCTTAGTTCAAAATTCAGATACAAAGTTAAAATGTCCATGGCAAATAAATAGTTCTGTTTTCTCATTTTAACTTGTTCTTTCCCAGGTAACATTGTGCCACTGACTACCATGTGATGAAGGCAAAGAAACAATTATCCACATTTTGAGGGTTTATGGATTTATACTTAACTAGAGGCCCAGTGCATGAGTTTATGAATGGGTGGGGTCCCCTGGCAATCAGGGCCGATTGAGGCTGTGGAGGGTTGGCCAGTAGGGGGAGGAAGTGCGGGAGGTTGGCTGTGGGAGGGAACTGACCACCAGGAGGCAGCTCTTGAGGTGAGTGTCTGCCTCCTGGTGGTCAGAGCACATCATAGCAACTGGGCGTTTGGTCGTTTGGTCGCTTAGGCTTTTGTATATACAGTGGTGCCTCGCATAAAGAACGCCTCGCACAGCGAACGCTGCACACAACGAACTTCATTTCATGATTCATACAACGAACTTCGTTTCACACAACGAAGTCGCCCGAGCTTCCACGATCGCTGCCGATGTATTGCATCCTTCCGCGCAGGCACTGCAGGCAGTCGTTAGTCACTGCGCTTAACTTAAGCACGTATCGCGGCAATCGTTCTTCATTATGAATTAAATCACGCACGTATCACGGCAGTCGTCCTTTTAAGTTAAACTCAATATTTTTTTTATATCATGATGTATCTAAATAAAAATAATAACAAAAAAATTTATCTTTTTTTATGTCATCTTAGCATATTTTATGCTACAGAACGAATTATTTTTTTTTTAGCATGTATTGTTATGGGAAAATGCGTTTCACATAACGAACTTTTCTCATAACAAACTTGCTCCTGGAACGAATTAAGTTCGTTGTGTGAGGCACCACTGTATATGGATGTGTAGCCATGGAGTGGCTGAAATCAAGGGTTTTTGTTCCCTTCTTTCATTTTTTTCTTCTTCCTTCCTCTCACCTATCTCTCCTTTCATAAAATATTTTCAGAATATTTTTTGTACCTGCTCTGAGTCAATTTGCTGAATAGCCAATTTGCAAAATGAGCAACTTTTTGAATCCATTATTTCATTTACCTATCTAGTTTTAGTTGACTGGTTTTATTTTATCTTCATATAAAAGAATTCCTTTGTTTTAAGGAATATTCTAATTTTTCTTGGTTTCAGATTTCTACCTTTGGAATTGGAGACTGAGTAGCAGGGAGAAGGGAGGTTGGGGAAACAAAGAAGAGTCATAATAAGGGAATTGTTGTGAACATGCAGAATTTTTAAAAATACACTTAACATAAATCTGTTCTTATACATGAAAAAAATGCATTTGTAGGCATTCCTTTGAGTGAAGAATACATTCAAGCATATAGCATGTACAAATTTCAATATCAGAAAGACACTAATTGCTGTAACAAATACTGTCACAAATTTTAGTGGCTTTACATTTTAATATTTTTTAAATCCTTTCTCGAGGACATGCTTAAGGAGAGGAAGGGAGAGAAAGAGAGAGAAAGAGAGAAAAAGAGAGAGAGAGAGAGAGAGAGAGAGAGAGAGAGAGAGAGAAGAGAGAAACATTGATTGTCTGCCTTCTGTATGTGCTCCAACCTGGGATTGAACCCAAAACCCAGGTATGTGCCCTGACTGGGAATTGAACCAGCAACTTTTCAGTGCACTCTATGACACTCAACAAACTGAGCCACCTGATAGGGCAGTGGCTTTACATTTTAGAACTTTATTTCTTTCCCATGTAAGTTACAGTTGCCATTTTTCTGGATAAGGTTGCTTTCCTCCACATTATTAATAGGCATCCAGGCTTCTATATTGTAGCTCTTTCATTCCCTACACTTTTTACATTTAGTCAGGTGAAGGGGGATGAGAGCAAGAAGACATATTTTCTTATAGCCTTGTTCCCAAAACGACACATAGTTTTCTGCTTATATGCCATTGGCTAGAAATACTCAAATAGCCACAATAACGGCAAGGAACCCTGGGAAATGTTGTCTAGCTTATGG